ATTTGTGTGTGTGTGTGTGTGTGGTAGAAGTATCGGTTTTTGTACTCTGTATCGGCAAGTACTCAGATCCAAGTATCGGTATCGTATCGGTTTGAAAAAATTGGTATCGTTGCATCCCTAGTTTCTAAGATTTGCTGATCGTTGCATTGTTTTTATTTCCATTTTACACAGTGTCCCAATATTTTTGGAGCTCACAGAAGGACAAAAATACAGCTTCGCCCACTCAGTGAACTCATTTTCCTTGCTATCAGATCTTTATGACGCTGAGCTTCCCTATCCTCACATCTATGCTTTTCCACAAACTCTTAACGCTGGAAAACTAAGGTTGAATACTGTGTTGCGATGTACAGCAGGAGCTGGTTTCAATGACGGCCAAACGTGCTAAAAAAAGCAATAATGATACAACAGAAGTGAGTTAATGCTTTTAATTCACAAGTCTTTAATATGTCATATTATCATATAGCATAGTTGGAATTCAGTTTATATGTTAACATGCTGCATTATTGCATGTACTGGGGGATCAGGCAAGTAATGGAAGCCTGCATAGAAATGTATTTAAGAAAGTTTGTTAAATTTTAAAATGGTTAAATGGAACATCTGTGTTAGTCAAAGCGCTCAGAGACCTTCATGCTTCCTTCATCAGGAGTCAACGACTCTCCACAGAGCGAGGAGCAGCACAGGCCACAGGGAGGTTGGGCTTGCAGCGCAGCACTTTGGGATTCGTTCTGTAAGGATAAGAAGAGCACAGCTTGTCTCATCCTGTTTGATGGAGCCTGACAGTGATGCTGCTACACAGTTAACGCTTTCTGCTGGACTTTGAATGAATGAACTGCACTTTTATTGAGCTCGAGTTCTTTTAACTTCTTTGATCTGTTCTCTTGACACATCAAGTTGCATGGATTCAACTGCGGCGCTCCACACCATGCATGAGTGGACAACACATATTCATTTCAGTGTTTTATCTGGCAAGCTTTAGGATCGAGGAAACGTGATTAGGAAAAGACACGAGCTCATTTATTTTAGATTATTTTAACCACAAATTCTGTCTCTCACCTGCAGATCTATTCTACTGTAAAGATGTATTAAAATAAATAAATCAGTAACATTGCAAGCACTAGTTATTCAGAATTGTTAAACCTGGCAGTTATTTTCTTTGATATCTGATTAATTATCGAGTGTGCTATTTTTCAATTCAATTTAATTTTATTTACACGGCGCCAAATCGCAACAACAGTGGCCTGAAGGTGCTTTATATTGTAAGGTCGACCCTACAATAACACATACAGAGAAAACCCAACAATCATATGACCCCCTATGAGCAGCACTTTGGTGACAGTGGGAAGGAAAAACTCCCTTTTAACAGGAAGAAACCTGGAGGGGCGGAGCCATCTGAGAAGGAAGACAGGATAAAGACATGTGGAAGAGAGATAGAGATTAATAACAAGTACGATTCAGCAGAGAGGTCTGTGAACACATAATGAGTGAACAAGAAACACCCAGTGCATCATGGGAATCCCCCGGCAGCTACATCTATTGCAGCATAACTAAGGGAGGATTCGGGGTCACCTGGTCCAGCCCTAACTATATGCTTTAGCAAAAAGGAAAGTTTGAATGTTAAAAGTACAGATAGTGTCTGTCTCCTGAATCCA